CGACACAGAACTACGGGATCGATGTCCTCTCGAGTGCGTTGGACTTCCAATCAACAGGTCGCGAATTTGAACCTCGAGTATTGCAAAACCCGAAGTTACGTACGACTAGTTAATGGCAGTTAATAAACCAGAAACTGTCATTCCAATCTCGCCTGTTTTTTTCTTTGATAATGTCATTCTGCCTCCAAATTTACCACCCTCTGAAGACGTATGCGTGAAGTACAAAAATCATTGTATGCATCAATGACGACTCCACTCATCTTAATGCTCAATTCCTTCGAGGTGCAACGTGGTGTGCAATAACTTACATACACCGCTGTATTGTCGGAGCAAGAAAATATAAGGCAAGCTTGTGCCACAACATGGATAAAATTTTCTAAAAAAACACTTTCAGAACTAATGAACCTACAGAAGGTTATTTTGGTCGCACGAATAGGCGCTTATTCAAAAGAATAAGGGAAAGTCTCCCGGCATGGCGGAGAAAAGGTGCAGTCAGGAACACAAACAGATTCATTCTCGTCCACAAGTTTGATTCCGAACATCGTGTGGACCTCAACAAAGTCATCCGGGTGATTTATAATATTCCACTAAAGTATTTAAATTACCTGGGTCGTCGCCTGCTAGGAGCATAAGAAGGGAGCGCTATCAGGTTTAGGAAGCTGGTCTTGCGTGGAAGCTTAAATTGCTATTGTAATCACTGTAAAAATCAGAGCAAAACATGAAAAATTTAGATTTCTAGAAAACGGGCTGGCATCATTAAAAAAAGCAGGAAAGCATAGAGAAATTCCTTTCTTGTGTCAAATGGTAAATACGAGCAATAGGAAAGTAGCAGACGGTAACAGGTGTCCAATATGGACAGACGGCACTCACAAAAACTGACAGAAGATGTCATCAAATACATTGCAAATGCCATGGACCTCGAGGATGGTCACGCGAAACTGGAACTGGCAGCCGAGACGCAGATGGCTTGGTAGGTCGTCAGCTGTCAGCCAGGGTGCATCATACTGGTATTTATCGAACACGGGCTCCGTGTCACCTAGTGGTTGAAGAAGACGAAGATGGTAAATCAAGTAGCTCGATTTACTGGGCAGTTGAATGAGGATAACTGCTTTTTTTGAGGAGGTCAAACAGCCAATCGACGTTTCCCATTAGCCAAAAAAGATTTCTTCACAGCCTGCTCCTGCAGTCACCGCTGCGGACCTGCAGTCATACCGTCTGTTAATTGATTTCTTAGGCCGGGCCTGGCTTGGCAGACGTTCTAGGCCAATCGACGCTGCGTCCCTAGCCAGATAAGGGAATATGTGAGTCCCAGAAAGTAACTGAGAAGAAGGAGATTTAATCGCTGGAACAACACTTTTATTCGCCCGACGTTTCGACCTCAGTCACCGATTCTTCATCGGAGACAGCAGAAAATAGTACCAGAAACGGGTAATACATGCACAGGAAGTTGCCGTTCTATGGGATACACTCCTTACTACACACTTATGATAAATAACAACAAGTACCAATAACTGACTTCTTGTATGTGGGTTGTTTGATGACCGGTGTGCGGCCCGTAACCTGCTGAACTTGCATCACGCGTGGTGGAATTGGAAGTGACGATTGCTCAGCCGTCTGGATCCCCGGTGTTGGCGTAGGACGACGCGGTGGCCTGTGCGTTCCCCAAGGGGCCACATTCTATGGCCAAATTGAGCCTCAGCACCGAATATAGATTTGGCAAGTTGTTGCACTTGCCTATGGACTGGGAGCCCTTGAACCATGTCTCAAGTGATTCTCGGCTCGCACGATTATCACCTCTTGCGAGAATTTCGGCCTCATCAAATATGAATGTGTGGCCGGTTCTCGTCCAGTGAGCCGCAACTTGAAAATTGGTAGCATTTTGTCATACTGCTGCCGCGTGTTCGGCAATTCGCATCTTGAGAGATCTGCTAGTTTCTCCGACGTAGTCTCTTTGTCCGCAAGTGCACCAGGTTTTATACATGACTCTAGCGAAAAACTGTATAAATACTGCAACTTCCTATGCATGTATCACCAGTTTCTGTAGATATTTTCTACTCATGGCTTTGATGAAGAATCCATGACGGATGTCCAAAAGTTAGGCAAATAAAAGTGTTGTCCGAGCGATCGAATCATCTTCTTCCTCACAAGAATTAATAACTGAACCAGCTGTCTCTCGGTTAAATTGGCTGCCGAATCGCGTATATTTTTGTCCAACTACTCAAGGCTCCTTGAGTCTTTCTTTGAGAAGCTTCGGATTCTCGAGTAAGCACCCTTGAAAGGAAACCTGCAAAGCCAGGCAGCCGGCTGTCGAGATCGCTAGAGATATAATATTCCTTTGACTGCAACTGGTGCGTCTTGACTGATTAAATGAAGCCTCGCCAGTTGTGGCAAATGTTTCCGAAGATAAGGTTTCAAACCTAGCGCGCAATCAGACAACAAGCCATCTGCATGGTTTCCTGTGGATCGAAAGAAATGCAAATGCAACTCAGCAATAGCGGATGCGCTGGAGCAGCTGGTCCGATGAGTTAGAATGAATACACAGGAACAGGGCCACCCCACCCACAATACATGTGGCCTCGCGCCAACTTCCGAGGAACTTAGGCCTTAGATTAAGCTGGGGGGAGGTTGAGGCAAAGTTTAGTTTTAAGGATAAGAACAGAGTTGCCGTGTCAGGAGCATGGTGTGAATAAAGGTTTGCATTAGTGTAAAGTATGGGGTTTAGGTGGCGGGGGGGCTGGGTTTCACATTAAGGCTACAGTTTAGCTTTATGTTCGAGCTATTATTAGGGTAGGACACGGAACTATTTAGCCATCCTGAAATTCATCGCAACCCACCTATTTCTCTTTGTCGGGGCGTTCCTATTGCGGTGTCTTGCTTAGGCAAACATAAAACTCATCCACGTCTTCCTGTGCAGCTCACCTGGAATTGCAAAAATGGTTCTCGCGGAACGCTTCGTGAAGCTCTCATAGCGGTTCCAGTCGTCCCTACGTTCATCAGAAAACTAAGTCTTCTGCTAACAAAAATTATTTTGTCAAACAACATAAGTCGAATTGTGCTTCTCTGACCCTTACGTATTAAAAAAACACAATTTCGGCACACTTCTTAATTTGTGTCAGGATTTTGGAATTCAGCAAGAGCAATCTACGGTCACACCTGTAAGAAACGCAGACGCCTACTAAGGAGTTACAATCGAGTTCGCTTTAGTGGGTTGTGAGGTTTGGTTGTACATACAAAGTATAAAGCAACATTGCGGAGTTTGCACGCATCTTAGTATTTTCGACATATTTCCAAAAATATATGCTAAAATTGAATCGGAAAATCGTTATTCCTTCTGAGAAGTAACATACGTTCCGCGAAAGCGATTTTGAAAATCAGGGGCCGGTAAAAAGGCCTGGGATTGTGCATGACTGACCAATAGTGGCGAGTGAGTCTACACCGATTACTTAGGTCACTCATGTTTTCGTTTCTTGGACATACTAGCCAATGAGCAGCCGATGGCAGGGCTCCAGATTGAGACGTTTCTCGCAAGGCAATCAGTCACCGCCCATTACTATATGTATAGCAATCGCAGTTGTGTTCTCAAAGTAAACTACTGTAAGTCGTGAAGAAGACCATGTGTCACCCTTGCTTAGAACATTTCAGCATCGGCCAGTTACTGCCACGGGGTTCGCTAAAGCTCCCCCATTTAGCCATCGTCAGGCAGTCATATTCAGACCCAAATGGAGCCCCACCCGAGCCTCTGACTGGCGACCGTTTTTATCAGAGTCAAACGCCCTAACCGATGAGCCACGAGCCAATTGAGGTCAGGAGGTATTGACCCTCGTTGATGAACGTTCACCGACTGCTAACGGAACTCATCTGTCCTGCTCCGCCTTGGGCCTCGAAGGAAGCCTTGACAGCCGTAACAGCTGTTATCAGACAGATGGTATTGCCGGCAGACTACAATAAGTTGCGAGGGACACCATTTTTCGTCAATGCATAGAATATTTCAGCGTACGCCAGCTACTGCCACGAGGTATTCTGAAACTTTCACTTTTAGCATTAGAAGTTTTTACTGTGTAATATGAGATTATAACTTTTGCGAATAGAGTATGGACGCATATTTATTAATTTTACATTAAAGACTGATTGGAATGCAGATTATAGTCAATCACACAGCATATGCCATTCATTCTTTTGGGCTTTTAAGGCCGCATTTACAGAGACGCACTATTGTACACATTTGATCGCTTTTCCTTTTATTGCTGGCTGCTAAATATTCATTTTGTTTCCGGCTAAACAAGTTTGAAATCCTCCACGTTCTTTCTCCAGCGAAACTCCTGTTCGACCTACACATGATTGTCTCCCTCTTATGAAGGCTTCCCCCTTTCTCCGAACCGCGTGCCCGTGTCCCTTTCGCCAAGAATACTGCCCTCCTGTTGACCTTTGTTGTCACTCGAATTTACACTTGTGCCAGTGGTATTTGAGTATTGTCCCCCAACTCTCCCGTTCGGCTTCCTTGCGTTTTGATCGGCTTTTCCAACAATACTTTCGGCCCTCACTGCCTCAAGGGACAACTGTTTCGAGTAGCACTCGAAAACACTAGCTCCCTCCCTCGGTTTTGGCTTACCAGAACAGCGTTTGGCCCAGACCGATGCACTTCGAGGGCTACTTTAACACCCCCGACCGCTGACACTTTTATATTGCCTCCCTCTCCACTCTTTCGGCATTAGTGTTTTAGACCAATCCTAAGACCGTGTAAACTGCCTCATGAAATCATATACAATCAGAGCCACACCAACTCTCCAACTAACATACACACGCTCTCCCATGACCAGTTTTGTCCTGCGTGGCGGTTGAACTTGTGTTGTTCCCTTGTATTGAGTCAGGCGATTTTATCAACTCCCTTGTTCTTTACTTTCTATATCCGTTGTTGAGGTTTGTACATTGTTTATTCTGTACTATTTGTTTAATAGTACCGTATTGCCTTGATAGTTGTTATCACTGGGTTTGGCGTACGCTCCACTGCTAGATAAATAGTCAGATAAGTCACTAATGACGAAACAATTCATCTATGACCTGGTAAGGCATATGGCTGCGGCTTCTATTTGACTGCTATCGTCACGAGTACCTCCATCTACTCCACGGAGAACGGTGGTATGCTGGAATAAATTGCTGGAAATGCACTCAGTCGCACAATGGGCGAGTCAACTAGGGAGAAACATGACAAAAAGGACGAAACACTAATAACCCGAGCGGGTCAGTTTCAGTGGAATTCTACTTTAGGTCCCAGACTTCTTTTTTAATAATCTAATGTTTTGGCAACAAAATAACGCACCATAAATAAAAATGGAAAATTCTTTACATTTCTCACTTACTTATAGTATATTTGGTGTGACAAATTTGAACATTTTTTACTTATACTTTATAGTTTTCTAGGTCTCTCGATATTCCTGAAAAAATATTTGGTGGTTAGAGTGTCATGTACTTCAAATTACTTGAGGTTTAACTTACTGTTCTGGAATTAAATTAGTATAGTTCGCGGCGCGAAGATCCGCGCATAAATTCAGTGCACATGTGAAGTAACTTTGCGTCAGTTTATTCTACTTGCATTATTTAACATATTTATATTTAAATGTTCTTTTCAGTTTAGTTTTCAGTTCATCGTTAGGTTTCCCATTTTAGTTTTAGGTCATTTTTACTTCAATGAGTTTACCTTGCGTGACTTTACGTTTTTAGCCAGTTGATTTTGGTTTTAGTTAGTTATTTGTTTAGTTATTTGCCAATATTTGCATAATTGCAGATTTTAATTATGGCACGCTTTCGGTTGACAAGCGTTAGATTATTTAAATAGTTATTACTGTTTTTTCTACTTTAACAAATTTTATTTTCCATTTATATTTCCTTTTATTGCCCAAGCTGTATATTCTTTATTAAATCCGGCCGTTTATTAGAAGGGGATGGGTCTTTTGCGTGCTGATCTGGAACCCAAAGTAGGATTCTACTTCAGTTTCGAGTGAAAAATGGAGCACATTTAGGCGCCTTACTTGTGGTGCTGTCAGCTGGAAAGAAACGTCCGTGCTGGACCCTGGGCGTGTTGCGTTCATCATCATCCTCCTCCTCCACTAGGGTATCGCCTCTTTCTGGCATGACCGTTAGTGGCGTTTGCATTCGCGTTGGTAAAGGACCGGGTGAGCCAAACGCCAGGCGCTCATCGTTCCAACGACCATCCGAGCAGACCTTCGAAATACACACAAAAGGACAGTGAGGCTTTCAGCTTCTGTTTCGCAAAGGAAACACAATCTCCAGACTATCGCAGGCCTTCAAAAGAGCAACCGGTAAATCAATCGGAGCGTTTACATAAAAGTCACCAATGAAGTTTGCATGAAAACTAACACGATAACATGTTTTCCCTCTTGGGAATTTCAAAGGCTCATGGGAAATTTCAGAAGACAAAATGGCGAACATACGTTTGTTTTCGACAAATTCCCATCAGGCCTCTATATTTTTATGGTAATTACCTAAACAAGCTATGCCCAAACGAGTAATAGAACATATTCCAGCATGGTTAAGAAAGAGACAAAGGATTTTAACAGTGCCGTTCTAGCGCACCTGGTAGACTCAACCCATCGAGTGGATGCCAAAGAGGCCTTCCGAGTGATCTACGAGGTACCCTCAAGCTATTCAAAATTCTTTGGACAGCGTCTGTTGCCTATGGCAGAAACGGCTGCCGACAGGCTACCCCGACCGGTCCTGTGCGCCCAAAAGAACTTCGTCCCTGTGCCGCAGTTAGCATAGCCAAAAGTCGCTAATTCAACAGCCCGAAGCTTATCCTCTGTCTCGGCTACCAGTCCTCCCTTACGATGATCAAATATTTCACCCCTATTTCACCCCCCCGTCCACATCCCCTGATAAACACACTATATTTTTTACCAACCCGTATAGTTTACTTAGTTAATTGTCATATAAACGTAAAGGCCCGACCAAGCATTTATCAAAAACAAGCGTATTTGCACCAATTTATCTTCTGAAGGATTTCAAAGCCGATGAAAGTTTAAAAACCTTAACACAAGCATGATTAGCTTTACCTTCCAGTGAACATAGATGTATAACGTCTTAAGATATATATAGACAGAAATAAACTACCGCCGTAGTCAACGGAGACCGAAATGATGATTTCCGGCTTACTGGTACTCATCAGCCATTCATACCCGATCCCAGGTGTGGATCACGCCAGTTTCTAATTCATGACCTTCCGGTAACGTAGCGTAACATTATACCATTACGTCGTGGACCCTCTGGGTAAGGAATATGTATATTCTTTTGTGCCCCAGAGCTTACTAAAAGCTTCACAGACGATCTGAGATATATTTCGAAAAATTGGAACTGACAAAGACTACGGAGACCGGAATGGCAATTTTGGTGACTGGTGATTGGCTGATGACAGCGTAAAAGCTAGAAATAGTCACTTCGGTCACTCTCTTCTTTGTCCATTCCACCTTATCATCATATGTTATGCGTTGCCATGCAGCTGCCTCTGCTAAGGCTCCAGAGTGAGGTCCAGGGCACGACGGAACATCTGCATTCCGTAATCAGATCGCTAAACCCTCGCACTATCATATATATTTCTGTAGCTACAAAGTTAAACTTTTTATCCCTGAAACACCGGCAGCAATTACGGAACCGATTTGGTCTCCATGAAAGTAGAAAGAAGCCTGGAAATGAAATCATCTTACTTACTTTGAATAAACATGCTCACTGGGGACAACTGACCTGACGAAAGTACTCCGCGTCCTTGAATACCAGAGTTGACTGACCGCTGCGTTGGCAGCCCTCCGCATTAGGCGAAAAGAGTGGGGAAGGACATTTTCCAACCACTGGTTTCGAATCCTCTTTGCTTCCCTTTTCCTTCTCCTCCCCAGCCCCTGTCACAGCCTGTAGTGGTTCGACTAGGACGTGGATGAAGCCGGCAGGTTCGCCGTTTCGGTCAATCAGGGCAATATCATGTTCCTGACTCACACCGTAGAAGAGGTTTGCAAGGTAGATGTAGCACCTGCGGAGGAGAGAGGGAATAGGGGAAAGCTGGTGCGCTTAGTAACACCGCGATAGAAAAAGAATAATCAAAACTTTAAACACACGATCTATGAGACGAGGACCTAACGTATAGCGTTCTTCACAGTGGTCTTAATGTCACGCCTAAAAGCGCAATTCAAAAAGTATATGTATGTAAGGGCTTAAAACTTCAAGTCGCATTCACATTTCTAGATCCTACTGCCATCATCGGAAACTCCTCCAGCACCTCTCCCTCGTGTGCAGGGACCGAGTCATGTTGCTAAAGTACCTGCTTTACGAAGGATTAATCGATGAGAAACGCACGTATAACCGCACCTGCAGGACCTGGGACCAAGAACCACCCATGGCTTTCGCTCATTTCCGAAGCAATCAGTTGTAGACTAATTTGGGGTAAGGGTTAGCCTAAGGTTAAGGCTAGGTTTCAGAGAAAGGTAAGAGTTTGAGTTACAGTTAGGGTTTGGCTTGGTGTAAGATCTAGGATACGAGAACGCTTGCTCTTCCGGGGATTTAACTTATTACCTACTGTTTCTATTCCCGCGTCTTGAGGGGGAGCATACAAACAATTCCAGTCGGATAATTCTACGATAATCAGCACTTTCTAATGCAAGCTTATGAGGGCAAATATATTTGGCAATTTATTCGTTTAAACTGGAAAACACACATCTCAAGAAATTTAAGTTTGAAAAAGATGTTTTCAGCCCGCTTTTACAAACCAACAATTTGCAGCAAAAGTTCTGAACCTATCTTCCAGAGCCCTCACAGCAACTGAGGAGAGTGTGCTTTCCAAAGGGATGAAATAAAACCATTCTGATGCTAATAACTTGGACTTCCTAGCCAGCTTGGAGTTTATCCTATTAACAGGAGGCTTCGATGACGATGCGCTGTTTACAATCCGAAACAGTGCTGTCCATGCCCTAACAGATGGGAATAAATTTTCATCTCTATCCTCTGAAGAAAAGAAAGCACTTAAAGCTTAAAAACCGATGAAACTATAATCACACTTCCCGCAGACAAATGAGACTCAACTGTTATCTTGAACAAATCAAACTGCAAGCAGAAAATGCTATCACTATTATAAGATAGCTCAACCCACAGACCCTACCAAGAAGCAAATGCCATCTATTGACAAATTGCTGAAAGGCTTTACAGGGACGAAACAACTGTCAGGAGATATCTCAAAATGCCTGAAACAATCCGAGGCAACCATCGCGAAGATCTGCGGATTACCCAATGTTCACAAATCGGAAATTCCCCTGTGACCGATAGTTTCATTAATCGGCGTACTGAACTACAAAAGCTCCAATTGGCCATTCCGTCAACTCAACAAACTTACGAAGGATTATGAAACTTCCATTCAGAATTCTATCGAGTTTCTTCAGAAACTACGGGGAATCACAGTCTCCGATGACGAGGTAATGGTCTCCTTCGACGTCGTTTCCCTTTTCACCTCCATACCACTTGATGTAGCAAGGCAATACACAGAGGAAGTCCTTAGGACCTACGAAACGAAGGTTCCTGCAGGTGCCTCGCTTGAACTGGTGGACCTTGGCCTAGAAACCAATTTTTCATTCAATAATCACTACTCTCAACAATTAAAAAGAGCTCCAATGGGGTCACCCACACCTGGATTCCTTGCCGAAATAACAATGCCGAAGCTAGAATCAACGGCCCTTCCATTGATTAACCCTAAGTTATGGGAACGATATGTAGACGACACATTTGTTGTCGTTAAAAAGAACCAACTCAAAGCGCTCCACGACCACATCAATTCAATTCACGCTCGAGAAGGAAGTTAACAACAAACTCCCATTTCTGGATGTTCTCGTGCAGCGAAATCCTGACGGAACATAAAAAACATCAGTTTATCGCAAAGAAGCATATGTGGACGTTATTCTAAACTATGAGCGCAACAACCCCATCTCTCATAAAAGGAGTGGCGTCAACAGTCTGCTTCGCCGAGCGAAAACACACTGCTCTGACGAAGAAGCCTACCGAATCGAGCTCAATTATCCTTTTGATTTGTTTTCCCGTAATAGTTTCTCAGAGACTCTGTACGCCGATGCATGAAACAACAACAACAACAACAACGCAACAAAAAGGATACAGGTAGTTTCACTCAAGCGCCAAAACAAATACGCAGCGAATCCTCCCTTATATAAGGAATGTGTCCGGACTCGTTGAAAGACGCTTGCGGAAACACCAAATAAAAGTGGCGCACAAACCGATGGCTACTTTACGCACTCAGTTAGTGTACACCCTATAGATAGGGTTGGCTACCTCGATAAGAAAGAAGCCATCTTCAAAATCCCATGTAAAGCTTGTGATAAGGTATATTGAGCTACCTCAATAAGAAAGAAGTGATCTACAAAATCCCATGCGGAGGTTATGATACTGTACACTGTGGCCAAACATGAAGATCCGGCTCAACACGCATCCACGAACACCAATTGGCCGGGAAGAGACGTGATCAGTTGTCCGAAGAGGCTATGCATTGGCTCTACACAGGAACATCTTTGCATGGGATAAAACACGTATCTTCGGAGCTTCTCCCTTCAAACTGGCCGAGAATTACTTAAGGTCATGCACTCTGATGATTCGTGCATCGACCGCCACATAGAGTTGAATGGTATTTATAAACATGGCAAATAACGGCGGAAAGGACGAAGACCGCACGACACAGATTGGCTGAGGCCACACCTGCCAATCAGGTCTCACCCCATATTACCACTGATTTTTTCCGCACGTGTGAAGATTTAGCTGTTCATTGCACAGTTCTTGTTATTCCGAAGACGAGCTGGGGCACCAGACTCAAAAATTCACTAGTTAAATTTACTTTTATACGCCAAAGAATATCTGCTTCTCCAAATATCTGGCAATATTATGTTCACAAGTGTGTTTGAACCTATAAACTGGTTTCTCAGGGTGAATTCTACGTTAGCTGCAGAATCTTCAATGCGAACGTTGATGTCACGTCGCCTGAACTCAGTCCGTAATAGTTCCGCAGTTTGAAAGAATTTTTTTGGTCATATGAATTAGGAATTAAATCGTGCCGCATTTCGTTCAATTCATAGGAGAATGATAGCAACCAACATACTTACCGGCCAATAACTCTAAACCATGGTGACCGATCGTAGAAGGGATCGTTGGGCTGGAAGTCGTCTTCGGCGTCTTCTTCGTGCCGCAAAGGAACTGATACGCAAGAGGCAGTATTTGAGCCGCCACTCGAGTCTGATTTAGCTATTTCAGGCATAGACGAGACATCGAAGAGCTTGGCCGCCTTTTTCTCGCTCAACGGTGGTCTTGAAAACTCTTCTTCGAGGTGAACAAAATGGCGCATTTCCGCTAAGCGTTCCCTGTTTGAAATATGCAGAAAAAAACGCATTTTAAAAGTCACCAGCTCTGATTGCTGGTCACTGGAACCGAACACACCGGTTCTAAACAACGTCGCTTGTAACTTCAAAGGAAACAGGGTACGGGGTGCAGCAAGTATCTAATTGCCTGTCATATAATATTTTGAGTGCTGGCTAACAAGAAAGCTTACGCATGCTCAAATAACTGTAAAAGGGTGCCCCGCAGGGACAAACGTCCTTCTGTAAGAAAGAGCATCTACAATTGATGATAAGTAATAAGGTTTCTTATGAGTATTTGCAGTGGTAGGTCTCATCGGCAATGTAGAGTTTCGAATAAAATCGAGCATTGCAGGTACAGAAACTGTTCAACATTTCTTTCCGCACTTTAATGCTGGTTTTCACATAATTCCTGCAGAATTACTTTGCAACCCATTATCCCCTTTAGAACGGGTAGCGTGCTGGCTTCTGGTATTTCGGATTGAAAGCACACCGATAAAAGGTGCTCCAACACGAGATCAGACTGTGAGACAGTGAAAGTTATGGTGTAATCCTCGGGAAGCAGCAAGAAATTTCATTGGTAACGTCCTAGGTTTGTACTAACCGTATAAAAGAAGGGCTAATAGTATCAAAGAGGAACTACTACATGTAGTAGTAGTAGTAGTA